AAAAAAAAAGGAGAAAGCATATGTTATGACTATGTTTTATTCAATTTTATACAATATAATATAGTTTTTATTTTATAAACATATGGTAATATTCAATATTTTTTTCATTCTTGTTTCTTAAAAGACAATAAGTTTGTTATTATAATAAAACATATATAACCTTATCATTACCTGAAACACTAGCTTTTGTGACACGTTGTATTACTGCTTTCATATTAAAACTAAGATTACTTCTTTTATTGTGACGTTATCGTTATTAATGTATATACCCATGTAAACTCTTTACATTAAATATTTCTTCAAGAAAATACGCTATTACAGTCACTAGTAATACTCCATGAAGGAACCAATAGAAAAGCTAAGATAGTCAGAAAGCTTACTTCCGCATATAGACTTCCTGTAAGGCAGTTTGACTTTTCAAAGATTGTTTACAAGCAAATTGCAGAGTGTATAATCATTTAAAAACTTTAATAATCTCAGAGTTGTTTGTCATCAACTTGTTGAGATTAGTAAAAAATGAACTACTTAAGACTTTGTAATCTATTGCTAAATCTAGGATTATAGTTCAAACTAATTTTCTGTGACCCACTTGTTGCGTTTAGGTTATGGTGTTATAAACAAAAATATGTTGGGTATAAATGTTTGGTTTTCATGATAAATTCGTGTATGCCAGACTGTAGGAATGGAGGATCCAGGTCTGAGCTTGTTTCAAGGCTCAGAAATTCAACTGAATACAAATACACAAGGCTTAGAGGAAGATGAAGAACAAGAAGATGCTAAGCGACGCGATAAAGAGGTACACTTTTCTTTATTTTAATTAAAGTTTATTATAGAATGTTTTACTCAATCTATAGTATAATTGGAAAGATTAATTAAAAAAAAACATGGTTATAATTTTAATAGATAAATTTTGGTGTTTTAGATTCAGGATCTCTTGGATAAGGATCTCACTTGGAATGATGATTTAGATGATGAAACTGATACTAGTTCTGTTAACAATAGTTGTTATCAAGATAATGCTAAAGAAGCAGAAGATTCTAATTCAGTGTTAAATTCTACTCAGGGAATTATATCATCCAAAGATCAAACTGTATCTCAATTACAGAAAGAATTTGGTATTTATGATCATATGGGAAATTCAAATAATTATGACAATATTATGACAAACCATAAGTCAGAATTAGAAATTGTTCCAACAATATCTAATATACAAAGAGATTTTAATGTATATGGTCCATCTGACACGCCATATTCTAAAAATAATAAAAGTAAAGATATGCATAATATTACTGCCGAAACGCCTTATGAATTAGCAAGACTACCAAATTCTGCATTTCCTAAAGATTTAAGAGTTCAAGTTGAAGAAGAGTGTACATTTAATGAAAATTATTTGTATAATTATCAAACACCAGCTAATCATTATGATGTTCATAATAAAACTTATTCAAATAATGGTTATATTGATGGATATGAAAATAATATACAAAGCAAACAAATTCATGAGTTTGGAGGTGGTGATAATGTTACATCTGATCATTTAAGTCATTGTTACAAAATAAGTCCAAATGGTAGACCAACTGATGACAATATAGCTTATAAAATAGCAGAATATGATAGTAAAGAACAATTAGAAGTTTTATATACAGTTCGAATGAGAGAAATTAAACGATTAACAGAGGAATTAAAACAACTACAATTGGAAAAAGAAGAAGAGAAAAATCAACTTAGTAGGAAATTAACACTTTTACAAGCTGAAACTGAAAGATCAAACATATCTAGAAATCAAACACAGCATGCTTTGGGTAAGAATTAGAGAAACATATTGATATTGCAACAATATTTTTTTAAAAAAGAATTATAAAAATTTCTATTTTTTGTTTTTTTTTCTTTTTTAGTTGATGCAAAAGCTGAAATTACTGGTCTCCATAATCAAATAACATCATTAAAGGAAAAAAATGAAAATTTAGAAAGAGTTAATCGAAATGTAAGATTTTTCTATATTTTTTTGCACAATGATTTTATTATTAGAATGATTACATATATAATATAATTATATATTAATTATATATTAATTATTTAATTATATAAATTATAAAATTTAGATGACAGAAGAATTAAGAGATGCAAGAAACTCTTTAATAGAATTACAACAAAAAATAGCTATATTAGAAGAGGTACAAGCATTACAAGCAAATGATAAAACACACGAAAAATTTTTAAAGCAAGCACAAGAAAAACATGCAATTGAAATGAAAAATATGCAAATTCAAATAGATAAACTTACAGATAAACTTAATGCAAAGGTATTTTCAATATTATATTAAATTCTTCTTGCACACACATTTATTTTTTACTCATTTAATTATTTTATTAATTTACATCAATAGACAAAAATTTTAGTACATTAATATTTTACATACATTAATAATATTTGTCATAGCTGCTCAATGTGGATTCCAACAGTCATTGTATCTGGGCAAGTTGTTGATATTGTATTTTTCAAAAACTATAATGTTCTTATATAAAACATTAATATGCTATACAAGTTATTTTTTTAATTATTGCATAACACTATTACTAAAAATTAAAATTTATATTTAAAAAACTATTTATTATAACTTTATGAATTGAATTATCTTATAAATAAATGAATATCATTTTAATTATTTGATCTTCTTCATTTTAATAGGAAATATCATATGCTGATTTGGAAAATAAATTAGCTGATGTACGAAGGGCAAATGAAACGCTTATGGTAGAAAAAGGAGATACAATGAATCGTCTAGCACAAGCATTAGAAGAAAGTCAAGCACAATGTAGAAATCTTATGGCTACAAATAATGCTCAACAAGTAATGCAACTTCAAGCACAGATTAAAGTTTTAACACAAGAAAAAGAAGAAATGCAAAAAATGATTCAAGAATTACAGGTATTTAATGTATTCATATCTAAACAATAGTTTATTGACAAAAAATTATAACTGTTATATTTAAAATATAAGAATATTATAAATAATATTGTTTTTATAGAATAAATTAGAGATAGCAAAAAGTGATGCAGCACAATATGATTCGTTATTGACAACAACATTAGAAGAAGAATCTGATTCTATTAAACAAATGAAATTAGGCGATTTTCATAATAAATCAAAATCAAAACCTTATGATGATGTAACAAATAAATTAAGAGGAGAATTAAAAAGGTTTATTTGTTTATATCTAAAATAATTTTATATCATATTACATTATCATTTACTATAATATTAATTTTTTATTATATTATTAATTTATAGATGTTTAGCTGGACAGGCAGTTAAAAGAAAGGAAATAACTCGATTAGAAAATACTTTATCACAAAAAGAAAAAGAACTTGATAAAGCTTTAATTATAGCAGATACATGTCGAAAAGAAGCAGCTCGATATGCTAAACGTGTTAACGAATTAGAACAAGAATTGAAATCTGTACTTACAGATGAAGCTTTAAAAGCAAATGCTCAAATACAAAAATTATCTGATCATCTTAGTGATGTAAAAAAGCAATATGAATTATTACGAGAAGAAAAAATGAAATTAGAACAAAAATTAGAAGAAACATTAGCAGTTAATGAAGAAACGCTCAAAAAATTATATCAAGAAAGCATAAATCAACAAGAGAAAGATGCAATTGATGAATATAATAAAGAATATTTAGAAATACATGCTAAGGCTATAGAAAGAGTTAGACAAGAAGCAAAAGTTGAAATAGTGCAATTATCGTAAGTAATTAAAATTTTCTGAGAAATTATATTTTATTATATAATATATTATTTTTTAATATTATTATATTATTTAAAATAAATATTTTAATTTATAGTGTGCAATTAGAACAAACACAAAAAGAGTTGGATCGTGTTAAGGAATTGTATATAGATGTCTGTAGTACAAAAGAGCAATTAATAAATGAACATAAATCTGAAATTAAAATGTTAAAAGAAAAATATGCTAACTTAGAAGATCGTGAAAAAGATATTGAGAAATATCAACATGACTTGCGGGCACAAGTTAAAATAGCAGAAAAATTAACAGAAGAATGCGATACATATAGAAGTAAAGTAATTGAATTAGAAAAAGACTTAAATTATGAAAGAAAGAAAAAAGAAGAATATACAAAGAAAATTCATCAAGAAATTGAAAAGGGTAATTTATATATTTTTTATTATATTTAAAATTTTAATAAAGTAATTATTATAAATATAATATTTACAGCAAAAGAACAAGCTTTAAATGAATTACGCAATGCTCATCCTAATCAAGAAATAAGTGTTTATTTACCAGATCATTGTTCTGAACATTTAGAGAAAATTAATCAGGTATATATATTTTATTTAAAATTATTTGTTAATTTTATTGTCATTTATAAATTTTTGTCAAATTTAATATATTTATAGCTTGAAGAAGATTGTAAACGTTTAGAAAACAAATTGCATGTTGCTCTTGATGAACATAAAAAAATTGTAGAATATCAGTCTGAATTAGATGATGCTAGATTGAAAGTAGCACAAATAGAAATATCTCAAGAATCATGGAAAAAAAAATATGAAAGAGCAATTAGCGAAAGAAATAATCTTAATAGTAAAATTTTCAAACTTGAATCTGAATTATCAAATATTAAACGAAATATAACAATTGAAGATTTTGATGAAATAAAATTAAAAGAAACTCGATATCAAGTAGAAAATGAAAGTTTAAAAAATAAATGTGAGAATTTGACTAGTGAAATAAGTACTTATAAGGATAAAATCTCACAATTAGAAATAGAATTATTAGAAGCGAAAAAACTAATTGGAAATTTCGAAAATACATTTAAAAAAAGTAGTGAAATATCACTAAATTCAAATGAACTTGAAAAAGAACTTTCTCGTTATAAAAGTTTAGTAGCAGAATTAAATAGTAAAATAAATCACTTAAAAGCTGGAAGAAAAGGTGATCTTGTTATGGAGCAAAGAATCAAACAATTAGAAACAGATTTACAAGGCAAGAACGAGGAATTAGAAAGATTAAAAGAGTTTGAAAAAGTAAAAATAGAAAGAGATCAACTTGTTTCAAAGTTAAAAAATCAAGCTAAACAATTCGAACAATATGTTAAGAATCAAAAACAAGTATTTGCTGAATTAAATTTATCACCGCGTACACATTCAAACGATGGTACAGATTTTCAAAAAATAATAGAGATTATGGTAAAAGAAATTCGCGAAGAGATGGAACAAAAAGTAGCTGAAGATCTTAGAGGTATAGAGGAACGACATCGAGAAATGAGAAAAAAATTAGAAGATACATATAAAACTATTTTATTAAAATTAAAAAATAGATGTCATGAAA